CGTCGCGTTGTGTGCGTGCGCGCGGGCGTGGGCGTGGGCGTGGGCGCGCCGTGCCGTGCGCGTGCGTGTGTCGTCGTCGTCGTCGTCGTCGTCGTCGTCGTCGTCGTCGTCGTCGTGCTGCGCGCGCGCGCGCGAGCGTGCGCCGTGCGCGCGTCGCGCCGTGTTGCGCCGTGGTGGTTCGCGCCGCGTCGTGCCGTGCCGATCCGCGCCGTTTCATCTCGCGCTAGGTCGCGCCGCGCGCGCGCTGCGTCGGGCCGAGAGAGAGGAGAGAAGAGAGAGAGAGAGAGAGAGAGAGAGAGAGAGAGAGAGAGAGAGAGAGGAAGAGAGAGATATGAGAGAGAGAGAGAGATAGAGAAAGAGAGAGAGAGAGAGAGAGAGAGAGCGAGGAGAGAGAGAGAGAGAGAGAGAAGAGAGAGAGAGGAACAGATAAGAGAGAGAGGGGAGAGAGAGAGAGAGAGGAGAGAGAGCGGGAGGGAGACTCGAGGAGAAGAGAGAGGAAGAGAGAGAGGAGAGAGAGAGAGGGGGAAAGAGAGAGAGGAGAGAGAGAAGAGAAGAGAGAGGGACAGAGAGAAAAACCAGATGGGAGGATGAGAGAGGAGAGATAGAGAGAGGAGAGAGAAGCGAGAAAAGAGAGAGAAGAGAGAAGAGAGAGGGATATAAAGAGAGGAGAGGAGAAGAGAGTGGATATATAGAGAGGGGATGATACATATATATATATATAGAGAGGAGTAGAGAGAGGATGAGAGAGAAGAGAGAGCGAGCGATATATAAATATATATAGACAGAGAGGATAGAAGAGAGAGAGAGAGGAGAGGGAGAGACAAAGCGAGAGAGGGAGATAGAGGATAGGGGAATTGGAGAGAGAGAGAGAGGAGAGAGAGAGAGAGAGAGATAGAGGAGAAGAAGAGAGGAGAGAGAGAGAGAAAAAGACAAAGAGAGAGAGAGAGAGAGAGGGAGCTATATAGATAGAGAGAGAGAGAGAGAGCGAGAGAGAGAGAGAGAGAGAGAGAGGAGAGAGAGGAGAGAAAGAGAGAGAGAGAGAGAGAGAGAGAGAGAGAGAGAGAGGGGAGAGAAATACATATATAGAGAGAAGGAATTTATATTTATTCAGAGAAAACAAAAAGGAGAGATAGAGAGAGAGAGAGAGAGAGAGAGAGAGAGAGAGAGATCGGACAAGTAGGCGGACCAGGGTCCGTCCGCGAGGCGCACTGCGGTGCGACAACTCGCATGCACTATTTGCGGCGGTGCAGCCTTTAGATACGAGGGCGGGCAACAAAAAACCCCCTCCCCCGGCGCAGTGCGACAGACGCTACAGACGGCGGACAGACGATGATGATCTCACCTGTCAGACCGCGTGAGGAAAAAGGCCCCAACAAGAAAGGCGACGTGCTGACACGTGGCTAGGCGGCTTGGCAGACCGCCAGTTGGGCGCTTGGCCGCTAAGCGGCGCGCAGTGACGGGGCACCCCCCGCCCCCGCGCCCTGACGCCGTGGACGCGGAGCCACGCGTGCACACGGGCAGGCAGAAAGGAGGAGATTAGCGCGGGGCACCATGTGGAGCGCCGCGGAACGATGACAACATAGCTTGGATGTTGAGTGTCGGCACGGCACCATCGGGCGAGGCCGTGAGCAGCTCGGCGAAGGCTCGCCCAGCACTGTGGAGGCGCAGGAGTAGAGGGCCTTGACGAGCTTGGGCGGCGGCGAGGTCAGCGGCGAGAGCTAAGCACCTCTGCTGGAGGGCAGCCATAGCCTGTGACAGCTCGGTTTCGCGGTCGGTGAGGGGTGGCTGCTCTGTGCCAGCAGCCGAGGGCCTCGAGACAGAGGCGAGGTCCTCGGTACGCCTGTCCAAATGGTGGACTAGCGTAGTGCGGGGCCCAGTACGCTGGCGTCCGTCACCCTTGAAATGTGATCTGAGGGGCCGACGCGACCCCAGGGCTGGAGCCGCTAGGGCCACGCCCCGAGAGGTCGGGGGAGCCGCTTCCTCTCGCGCAGCAACGATGGACGTGTGGATGGGGCACGAGGGCCTGTCTGGTTTAGTACCCTGCGGGGGGGCTGAAGCCGCCCCCGCGGGCTGCCGGCGGTGGGGGGGTGGAGTGGTCTGCGCGGTGGGACCAGTGGTGATGCCGTGCAAAGGCTCTGAGGTCGGTCGCGTAGAAAGTTGGCGTCTCGGTAGGTCGGCATGGTCAGCAGCGTGTGGTATCGGCGGTGCGTCCTCCATGCCACTCGGTCCTCGGGGGTCACCCAGGTCATGGTCGGCGTCCTGGCGGTGGCCGATATCATCGTATGTGGGCGATATCGCTCTCGGGGACGAAGTCGCAGTAGGGGTCGAGAGGTTTCCCGACAGGGCGGGGTGTTCGCTGGCTGGTCCGTCGTCCACAGCGTCCGATCCCCCACCGAAGCTGAACAGGTCATCCTCCTGTTCGTCAGCGTCTTGAAAATGAGCGGCGTTGTCATGTGGGTGCGCTGCCGCTCTAGATGGCGGAGTCGGGGGCGCCGCGCGG